AATCAAGTTTAGTGCAAAAGTTTAGTTAACTCAGTCCCTATAAACAATAATTATTATTAATAAACAGACAATTCTAAGAATTTTATATCAAATAATAAAAATTACAAAATATTTACAATTAAGATATTGTATCAATCAGAATATTCCGATATGGTTATTTGGACATAAACTGTACGAGGACTTTATATAACACATTTATATGTAATAATTTAAAAGAAGTTGATTTAAAATGATATTCCTATCAATATCCTATATTATATAAATACTTAAGAAATCATTTCAAATATAATACTTTGAAAAATATTTTTAAACAATTTATTTTACAACTTTCTCAAACGTTTATTAAATCAAAATGAAGTATATAATTGTACTGGGGGTTTTCATCTGTTGCGCCAAACAAATATATTCCGACAAGTAATATTACAAAAATAAAAATTGCAATTATTACCATGTACATTTAATTTTTCAGTCCAAAAGTGGCAGCAGTCAAGAACTTTAAGGTTATTACTGGTCCCGAAGTCTACGACAAAGATATTCGACCCAATTTAGGGGGTAATCATTATCACGATATACAGTATTTCATTATTTATTTAAATAAACTTATAATAATTTTTATTAAGAAAATGCAAGTGTCCAAGTTAATATTACAATGCATGTCACCGATTATGAATTCAATCCGATCACAAGGGTTTGTCCATGATTTAATAATCATTAAAATTACAGACTTTTAGTCTATTATTGTGCTTAATTGTGGTAATACTTCAGGAGATGACCATGGTCATGTACTTCCGACAAAAGTGGACCGACCCAAGACTCGTGTCAAACACTTTGACGGCTGATGTAATCGGTGGCAAATCAATAATAGAGAGAGTGTGGACACCCGACACATTTTTCTCAAATTCATTGGACGTGAATATCATGAAATATCCGACCCGTAACTTATTCGCCAAAGTATTACATAATGGAGAAGTCTATTATAGCGAGAGGTTTGTGTCAATGATATCTCTATAAATTAATTATTAATTTTGTGTCTTATTGTATTNTCAAATTCATTGGACGTGAATATCATGAAATATCCGACCCGTAACTTATTCGCCAAAGTATTACATAATGGAGAAGTCTATTATAGCGAGAGGTTTGTGTCAATGATATCTCTATAAATTAATTATTAATTTTGTGTCTTATTGTATTTATTTTAAAAATTATGTGAAGAATTAAGGTTGTGTTTCGTTGTGGACCACAAATATCCATCAAATCAGATGAATGTGACCTCGAAATAGAGTCCTGTAAGTGATCACAATCAGTGAAAACAATAAATTAAGAATTATATTCTTTAAGTTTAATACAATTTTAAATGTATAATAAATTGAAAATATTGCTTAATTAGATGGTTCTAGTATGGCTGACATTGATTACTCGTGGTCCAGAAAGGGTTCAATTGGCATCTCTAGTCCAATAAATAATAATAAATATAAATTAACTTATGTCCACCAGCTTAAGAAAGTCGAAGTCCTATCAACAGGTGAGTCCTCGAAATTGATTTTACATTCAAATTTGTTTTATAATAAACCTATTTTTAATTATTAGGCAATTATTCACGCCTTTTGGCTAATTTTAAGCTCGATTGTACAGATTGTATGGACAATGATATAGTGGACACCACACCATTATCATTATAAACTTTTTTATAACATTTAATTGATTATTATGTTAATACATTATGGACAATATTAAATGGTTGTAAGAATTTTATTGAATAAAGCATTAAACTTAAATCTGTAATCAGTTTAATTTGCAACTAAAAATCTTGAAAATATTTTTATTAGAACTAATTTATATTTGTGAGAGATTTGTCGACATAATAATAAGTGATTTTGTCAAAATATTTCAATCATATTAAATTTTTTCCCCATATTCAAGGATATAATATTTAAGTTAATATAAATTAATTTAAATATAATATCATATTTAAGAATATCCTTTTATTTGTGTACAACTTTTGTAAATTTAAACTTAAAACTCAAAATGAATATATTTTTAGTTCTTTGTATTAATATAGTGTATCAAGTTTTGTGAAATAAAATATAAGAAATTTATTAAAAGACTTATTAATTATTAGTATTTTAATATAATTCATATTTTTAGAATTACAATGAATTAAATGTTTTTTAGTAATAACTAGTATTTTATTTAGAATTATTAGTGTCATGAGATAAAATTAATTAAAAACAAATTAGATTTAGACAAAATACTAGTTAATATATAAAATTTATAATTAACACGAGTTGTTTGATAAAGTTTGATAGTAGTTTGCCACAAATAATAAATAAACAAATCCTATCAATATACTAATCATTAAGATACAAAATTGTTTATGATTTTATTATAAATGGTCACATTGTTTAGGACCTCAGTCATACCACTATTGCACATTGGCTATGAAATTGGCTGTTTATATTTTTAATTTTAATTTATAGTTCCTTAGAATTTGTTTCAAAAATAATCATTTATCTTATATTTCTATTAATTGCAAATTATAATTATTTAATACTGCAAAATGAAGGTTTTAATTGTATTAAGTTCTGTTTTGGTTCTTTTTATGAAACAAATATACTCTGAAAAGTAATTAATTTAATAAATCATAAGAATATAATATAATATGCAAAATAATATCTATTTATTTCAGTCCAGAAGTGATTGCAGTGAAAAACTTTAAATCCATAACAAATCCCGAAGTCTACGATAAGGATATTCGACCTCATTTAGGGGGTAATCTGTACTGAAGTTTAATTTGTTATAAAAAAATTATAAATTTATTAATTTTAACAGAAAATAAAACAGTAAATGTTGGAATTACATTTCATGTAATTGACTACAAATACTATGCTATGACAAAGGTTTGTGTAACGTAGTGTAATAAAAAAAATCATAAAAATTATTAATTTAAATAACTGATTCATATGAATTAAAAATGCCAGGAGATGACAGTCCACATGTATTTCCGTCAGCACTGGAATGACCCCCGTCTACAAAACCAAATGGAAAATGCAACCAAAGTGTTGGGCGGAAAGTCATTGGTGGACA